GAAGTTGTTTCAGAAGCAACAGTGGGCTGTGTGCTGCTTGTTGTCATACTGTTTCATCTGGCTCCTTCAAGTAGAGAAAATGGAAAGCAAACACAGGAAAGAGAAAAACATCTAATGGAGAAGTCGTTTATTAAGTAATTCAGTTAGTCTGCGTAAGTCTGAGTACTTAATTTAGACCCTTCATAGGAAGTAAACTATCAATCCGAGGCTCTGTTTATAGCCGGAGTTCATGTTCAGGCAGGGAAAATATGGAATATTGATTATAATATTTTCCAGGTTTGAAAAATTCTGGAAAAAGAAAAACCTAAAATCGAAACTGAAGACACACAGTTATTCTTGTAACTTTTTCTTTTTTCTTTTTTTAATACAAACTTGTTCTTGGCACCATCTCCTAGTTCTCCACAGTGGTTCCTGGAACAGATTGATTGTTTAGAGTTTGGTTCTGATGCTGTTACCCCAACAGATGATGGCACTGTCAGCAAAAGACTTATAGAAGATCTGCAGCACACCTTGAAGGATCTTAGCTTCCTCAAGAATCAAAGTCTGCTCTATCCTTTCTTATAGACCACTTTGCTGTTCCGTCTCCAGTCCAGTCTGTTGTCTAGACGAACACTGATGTGTCTATATTCCTCGTCCACCTCCACTTCTTCCCTCATAATGGAAATAGGGTTTGTTTTAACCCAGTTTCTCCTGAAGTCTACAATCACCTCCTTTGTTTTGTTTACATTTGAGATGAGATGATTGTTTTCACGCCACAAAGTGATCCACCGGCTCTCTCAGCTCTGCTTCTGGACTATCAATGATACACCTCGGTCTCAAGAGTATTTCTGTAGATGACAGAAGTTCGACTTGCGCTGGAAGTCTGAAGTGTACAGAGTGAAAAGTAATGGTGAGAGTACAGCGCCCTGTGGTGCTCCTACGCTGCTGACCACTTGGTTAGACACACAGTCCTTCAGTCTCACAGGCAGTCACTGATCCAAGCATTAAATTCACCTTTCTCCATATCATTTTCAAATTGTCTGAAAATGAATTAATAACCTTGGAGCTGTGACCCTGGAAGTTCATATATGTTCATATGCTGCTTGATTTGTTTATAAAGAACATGACCTGGATACCAGCAGAAGTTGAGAAGTGGCTCAGCCTGTACAAAAAAACAAAAAGAAAAAAAAAAGCTGGAGTGCTTCACCACGTTGAAACCTGAGCATGTGATGACCTGAAAAGTGTGGAAGGTGCATTATTCCCCCCCACGCCCCCAAGTGTGGAGGGTAGATTTGTGGGCGGAGCTTTGAGGGTTTGCAGGGTTGCGTGACCTTTGCCTCAGATCAAGGTAGACAACCAACTTCCCAGGTCTTCAGAGGAGATTAGTGCTGCAGATCATTTCCGTTTAAACCCCTAAGCCCATCGGAGAGCTCAAGGCTCAATTGGCCGAAGCCTTGGCTCCTCTCCATTTAGTCAGGATAAAATCTAGCATCTTGAACAATGAAACGCCTCCATTTAAATGTCAAATGACTCGCCGTTTGTCTTACTGACTAAAAGGAAGGGTGAATCAGTTTTCCATAACCCCCTGTAAGCCCTAGCTGGAGGCAGAGAGCGCTCTCCTTAGTGCGGAGGTCAGCCATGTATTCCACTGTGTTGGCAGACAGCTATGCAGATGTCAGCACCAAGTCTGCACGCGCCTGATGCAGAACGCTAAAAGACCATCAGCCCTGAGCAAACACACTCAGTCACATGCATTTCATTAAACCCCTTTGTTGCTCGAGAGAGAAGGGACAGATGAAAACCACAGAGTCTTCCTCCGCCTCCTCATCCTCATCCCTCCCCTCCCCCTCCTCCTTCGTTGTCGAGTCCCGCTCCAGCAGATGGTGACACTGATTCGGTCTCGCTCCACTTTTAATTGGGAAATCAAGTCTCTGCCTCGGCTGCTTCTCAGTCCATGCGTTGTTTTTTTTGTTTTTTTCTTTCCCCCGAAACAATGATCTTTTTTTTTTTAATTAAAAGCCGTGAAAGCCAGTTGATAAGGATAATTGAAACTTCAGCCAGCGGGTCATGCGTGCTGGATGTACGAGATTTTCTCTTGTGGCTAAAAAAAAGAAAAAGAAAAAGAAGAAGAAACTTCTGCAAAAATCAAATCCAGATTATTATGAGCTGCTTCTAAAAGCAGAAATCAGGGTCATAGCAAATTGTCAACGTTTTGCTGCAATTTGCACTTGGAAATTAATCAGAATAAATTTTTTTTTTCTGGGATTGATGAATGCTGAATATGCTAAGCCACCATTCTAAGCAATAACTCCCAGATTTTGTCACGTTGAAGCTGCAAGTTTCTATTTATCTTATTGACATTCAAGAAAAACGGTTCTACCTCCACCCCTCTACTCGGTTATCCATTTGAAGTTACCTAATTAGTGGACACCTGTGTCTAGTCACTGATATATTATTCACTGATTTATTGGTTGAAATTAAATCGGGCACGGCATACTTTTCTGATTTCTCCTGAGAGAAAATGGAAACCATGCATCGTTTTCGCTGCTCTGTCACATAAAATCCCAACAGAAGTATTGACGTTTGTTGCAGTTTTTCTCTCTTCTCGCTCTTTTTACCAAAGACTGGATGAAGGACTTCAATCTGGTGCATTGGTCTCAACTGACTTTTATTTGTTGGTTTGGTTATATATTTTGAATATTTAATTAAAAAGGTCCAGTATAAAACTCTTGTCAGAAATGAGAGTTTATTGATCTTTAATTGGGCATATTTGCATTATATGCAAATATAATATAATATTGCATTATATTGGTTAAAAATGGTCTCGTAAAATAATACTATTATCGTTTACCACAGTAACTTCTGAAAATGTATCGTGACGGACCCTACGATGAACAAAAACTTTCAACAACATTCCTGAGAGAAACTGCACAAACTCGTCGTTGTATAAAACAGTTGAGGTATGTTGTGAATGTTTGGATCCGCCCTGCGACACCTCGCTGATGATCCAGTGGCCGCTGTTGGCCGGCAGCAGCTGACTGTCCTGCATCGGCTGGCAGCTGCTTTCCTGTTGGCCGGGGATCATCTGGCTCCCGATCCGACCACAGAGCCGCCGGCCTGCCGCTGGCCTGCCTCCGTTTTCCAGCATCCCCCTGCAGTCTGCATGCCAGCGGTGGGAGGCAAGCGAGCCTTCGTTCTACCATATTGATTTGAAGCGTCTGAAAGCTTTCTGCCTACTCACTACTTTTTTTTTTTTTTTTTTATGTGCATATTTTTAAAAAGCCGTTGCAGCGTGCCAAAGCTGTGATGCTGTTTGGCTGGAGGATTTAAAACGGGTTTGATTCAGTTTTCTCTTTCTTGTCCTCTCAAAGGATTTTGTTAAAGTGTGGTTTGTGCTCCTGATTCTTTTTATTTCTACCTTAAGTCTTGCACAGTACAGTGGAAAATGAACCTCAGTCCAAGTCCTAATTGGTTCCCCTCTTTGGTACCAACATGCAGTAACTCTCATTATGGCGCTTTAGCATTTTATGTCTGAATAAAATACACAGCTCCTTCGCTCCTTTCACTGCAGTACCAAAATAATTCACACACAAACACACACATACACAATCTGTTTGGATTTTAATGTTGCACACACCTGACCCAAATTTCACGAGTGTGGAGTTTGCCTGCCAAAAAGAGGCAAGTGGGGTTTGTTGCGGCCTGCATGGTGAATCACTGGATTGTTTGTGACTCTCCGGTTCGTCAGATTAATTCCACAAAAACACAGAGGCGCTGCTAAAAATAACCCAGATGAGAGAAATGGGAAGACAAAAACCCCAAAAATAAGAACCAAGTAAACACATCATCGCCTCTAGGGCTTTCTGCTGATGCCTGAGTGGCAATCTTTGTTTACCTTATGTCAGTCAGAGTATGAATCAGCCTCTTCAGCCTCTACAAATGTGTCTTGTTTTTTTTTCTTTTTTTTCCGGGTCTCATTTTTCAGGGAAAAACAAGACGGTCCAAGCTGCCCGACCCCAACAGCCAGGACTCCAAGAGAGACAAAGCAAATTCTTTGTCTGGGCAGAACAGGGGCAAATGGAGCACCAGGTTTGAGAGGCAGAGGGGAACGGCAGCCCTCCCGCAGAGGAAAGGCGGCAACCGGCGAGCGGCGAAGCCCGGCGTCAAACAGAAAACCCCCCAGGAGAGGGGGATGACGGCCGGGGTGGACGGCGCGGTCTCTCACGATCTGTCTAGCAGCCGCCGCAACTTCAGCCTGGACGGAGCGTCGAAGCTGCAAGCCGCCGGGATCCCCGGGGAGCCCGGAAGCGTGGATGGCGCACACCAGGCGCCCAACGGTGACTTTATGCCTAAATGCGACATCGTGGGCAAGGACGCGCTGTCGGCTCTGCACCGCGCTGGGTCGCAGCAGTGCCGGCAGGAGATAGCCAACATTGTGTGCCAACATCAGGCGGGGCAGCTCATGCCGGAAGCGCTGCCCCAGTTCTGCCGCCAACTCGGTGAGCTCCAAGCTGTATTTTAGGTTTTAAGTTGAACATATTTACAGACGAAAGTTTTTTTTTTGTCTTAAATGCAAAATGTATTTATGTTTTGTTCAATTTTGATGTGATTGCAGTTCTGAGGGTGTTGTTCTTTCAGCCATTGTCGGTTTTTTTTGAGTCCGCATACTTCAGTTCATGATTAATCAGTTACTGAATTAGTTGACGATTATTTCAATAATCGATTCACCATGATTAATTTGATTAATCATTTCAGCCCTACTTTACTTTATTAGATTGTTTATAGTGTATGATCATCTTTTTCTAACCTGCACCTGGATTCTGTGGCCAGGTGTGTCCCAGCCGGTCCAGGCTGCAGGCGACGTGGAGTTCAGCTTGTCCAAGGTGGAGAACCCGGTCAGGGTGGCGTTCGTGCTGATGGTCCACGGCCGAGCCGTACGGCAGCTCAGGCGGCTCATCAAGGCCATATACCACCGAGATCATTACTACTACATCCATGTAGACAAGGTACAGCCAGTAGATGAACCACCACACTGTTCTATGTAGGTCAGGGGTGTCCAAAGTGCGGCCCGGGGGCCATTTGTGGCCCTCTGAATGATTTTGTGCAACCTGTTACGGCCCAAGGCCTTTTCTTTTCTCTGGGTCTCACTAACATCTTTGTTTCAGAGCTCCTAATTAGTGCTGATTGGAAATGGAGGCAGCTGGCCAGTGTCTCCAGAACAGCTTGAGATGCACCACTGTCTCTCACTCACCTCGCCCGTTCTTTCCCTTTTCTCCCTCTCCTTGCCTGATTTTTTTCCAGCCCGTCATGATTTTTGTTAAATCTTAATTTTAAGTTATCCCTTGCGTTGCTTCCCTTTATTTGTTATGATTCTAGAGCCAGACCATAGCAAATTGGGGGCTCGTCCGGGATTTGAACCCTGGACCTCTCGACCCAGAGAAAAGGCCTTGGGCCCTAACGGACCCCTGACCACAAAGCCGGTGTGAAACAAATCTGCCTGCTAGAACAGCAAAACTAATTACAAATTTATTAACCAGACTTCTGCGTTAATCTTAAGCCAGAAAATCAAGGAACAGTGTGTCGGTTTATTATTAACAGTTAAAAACTCTCTCAATGCAATAATTTACAGATCTTTCTTGTACAAAAATATGTTTTGTTTGATTAAAAGAAATCTTGCGTATTTAGTTTATTATTGAGCAAATACAATAAAAAAGTCTCAAGAAATGTATTTGTTGACTTCAAAAGAAAAAGAAAAAAGATTTTTGTGAGTTTCATATTAACAATTTTATCCCTCTAGGCAAAAAGTTTGCACACACCTGAACTAGCTCCTTCTTCCTGGTTACATTAACACCGTTGGGATTGTTTTTCTTACTGTGAACTTAAAATGACCAACTCTCCCTCTGTCCCAGAGGTTGCCTTTACCCTGCTCTCCTCTCGCTGCAGTAAAACCGGGTCAGTCGGGGATGTCACGGTTATTCTTCAGGAATCCGTTTTTTGCTAGAAAACTTGCTGTTGTGTTCGAAAGGAAAGCAGATGGCGAATCTGTTGAGCAGAGAGCAGGTTCGGTTCCCGAAAGCAGGACTCCTGTTGCAGCCGGACACCTGGTCACTTCCTCTGTTCTGCTGCCAACAGACGGCGGCCGGTTTTCACAGAGAGAGACCGTTTGTCTCTGTGGAAACGCCTGCTTGAGCTGAACAGTTCGGGTTATATGCGAACCTCCAGCTCTGTGCTTCATCACCCACCTGCTAACTCTGCAGCTGAAGGCTGCGAGTTTAGGCTGCTCCTTTCGCCTTTTTCTTTCATTTGGCCTCATTTCTAAACACCAGGCAGGAAGCTGCTTAATCTTGTCAAATCCCGTTAAAGTTCTTGCCTACTTCTGCTGACCTCGATCGGTTTCTCAGAGCAGATTCATTACACGCCATTTGTTCTTCTCTTAACTAAATTGGACTTTATGTCCCTGGACAATCTATTTTAAGGTGTCTGTTTCCCTTGAACTGCCCATTTATCGCTTCACAACCTTGAGTAACCCTTTAAAAAACAACAACAAAAAAAACAAGCTGTTTATAATAAATCTAATTGATCCCCAAGGACTAAATAAGAGCTTTTATTTCCTCCTATTTGGAGTCCACAATTTTAGCTGGTCAAAGCATGCTCACTCTTAAGTTCAGCATTTCCTTTTAGATGATAAACAACCGTTTTCATTTCCCTTTTGTCATTATTTTGATGAGTCACGGTAGAAAGCAGCATTCAGCGTTTGTTTGTTTTTTTGTTTGTTTGTTTTTTTTTTGTTTTGTTTTGTTTTATATTTTGTGATGAAACTCTTTGAAGCTGAGCCAACGTCGTCTGATCTTCTCCGTTTCCTGCAGCGGTCCGGCTACATGCATCGAGAGGTGCTGCAGATAGCCGAGCAGTACCCCAACGTGCGCGCCACTCCCTGGCGGATGGTCACCATCTGGGGAGGGGCCAGCCTCCTGAAAGCCTACCTGCGGAGCATGCAGGACCTGCTCACCATGCAGGAGTGGAAATGGGACTTTTTCATCAACCTCAGTGCCACAGACTTCCCGACCAGGTTAGCTACGTGAACAGAAACGGAGCAAAACAATGTAGAATAAAGTGATGGATGTTTGTAGAAAGTGGCTGGTCTAAGATTGACAATGGTGTCTCTGTATTATGGTTTTCAAAACACAAATAATATAGCCAAACTGCTTTTATTTAAAACTGAAAAGTAGCAATAATTTCTCCAAACTATTACAATTATGATGCTTTTTAGCACACCGTTTCCTTCCACTAAACTTTCTATGAATATGCTTGGATAAATCTGTGAGAAGCCAACTTCTATAGCACTGACCTTTTGTAGCATACCTAATTGTAGAAAGGTCTGTCACAAAAACAAACCTTTCTATTGTTATTATTAGGCCATTTTCAAGTAATATATTGATAATGCCCTAATAATGCAAGTTTACTCTCTCAAAGAGTAATAAGCTTCAATTTTGTAAAGAACACGTAAAACTAGAAGACGTTTTAAATATCTAAAATCAAACACAAAAGCCAGAACCATAAATAAAATGGATTATGATTTCTTTGTAAGCACAATTTTTTTTAATCAAAAAATAATCAAGATGTAAATTGTCAAGCTCGTTTTAATTTAATATGGGATTAATTGATTCATTAATTGCTTATTGTGACGGGCTTAATTGCAGACGGTGTTAATTAGAGTCCACTGTCAAGTCAGTGATCTCCCCTGTGATTTTTGTCATCCATACCATAATATTTCTCTATTAAAAATAGTTTTTTAATTGATCTTTTATGTCATGTTATAATTTTTTTTTTGAGAAACTAAACTTTGGAGTTTAGTTATTTGACTAAAATAACAGTTTATTTTAGTCAAATAAACACTTAATATAAAGCATCACTCTGTGAATCTATTTGTGGATTTTACTCTTTGAACTGTGTTTGAAATGAAGCATCACTCTGAACTCCAAGTCACAGGGAAAAATCAGCAGCATTAACATTAGTAATTTTTAAAAACACCTTTATCTGTAACTATCTAATGCCCAGTTCTGCAGTAATGACTTCATTTTAAGGGCCTATTCGTGTTTTGGTCTCTTAACTGACCCCAGCAGCTTTAGAAAGTGGCAGCCGTAGCATTTCTGCTGATGGAAACATTAATCTGTTTTGCAGCATCGTGGTTAATAAACCGTTCTGGTCACTTAGTCACAGAACCGACGGTAAACAGCCTCCAGCTGGGGTTTTGGGGGCAGCCGACTGCTTTAAGGGAGTCCCAATCAAAGCAGTTGATTGTCCACCTGGACTGTCCCCAGAGAGCTTCACTTACTGGCCCTAAATCTTTTCCAAAGTAGTTTATTACTCAGCTCCTTTGTATTCATCAAAGTCTCCTATCTGCTGTTTTTTTTCTCTCACCATATCGAACTCCTGTAGGACCAACGATGAACTGGTGATGTTTCTGTCGATGCACCGAGACAAGAACTTCCTCAAGTCGCATGGGAGAGAGAATGCAAGGTGAGCGCGCTCGTCTTAAAGGTAGACCCCAACCAGAACTCCCAACAATGCTTTGGTCTGTGCTCTGTCCTCCAGGTTCATCAAGAAGCAGGGCCTCGACCGACTTTTCCACGAGTGCGACAACCACATGTGGCGTCTCGGCGAGCGCAGCATCCCAGAGGGCCTGGAGGTCTCCGGCGGCTCCGACTGGTTCGCGCTGACCCGCCGCTTCGTGGACTATGTGGTCGGCTCCCGGGACCAGCTGGTGTTGGGTCTGAAGCAGTTCTACACCTACGCGCTGCTGCCCGCCGAGGTAAGAGAGTGAGGAAAGAGCCCGTCTCAGGCTCCACTTCCCTGCCAAGTCAGAGCAGACTAGCAGCAGAGATAATGGAGGACTGTAAGCTGCGCAGCACAGCGTGCAGCAGCGGCGCCGCATGAGAGGAACTACTGTAGAGCTGTGACCTTCTGTAATCCAGACCTCGTGTTTGGAGCCAGTTCATGCACCCTTTCCATTTGACTCGTATTTATCTTTCTGCCTCTCTTTTTTTTTTAATTTCTTCTAAATTTTGTTGATCTTTCTATGTCTTTTTTCTTTGTCATTTTCTTTTGTCTCTTTCTGTCTCTCTCTTTTTTTCAGTTTTTTGCCTTTCTCTTTTCTTTCTTGTTTTCTCTTTCTTTCTCTTTCACTCAAGAAGAAGAAAAAGAATGGTTGTTGAATTTTTCTTTGAAATTTAATTGAGCAGAAAATATAAGATTAACAATGAACAGAATTGTGAATGTGTAAAGCTTTTCCAGGATATAATTAAAGCAAGAGTGATGTTAGAAAAAAAGAATGAAAATGAATGAACTGGATGTTTTTCAAAATCTCTGTGATTATGAATGTATTCTGAACTTTCCTCTATGAATGTGTTGATTTGAGTTGACCGTTTATACGGATCACTAAAGCTCAATAAATGAGTTTTTAAAAGTCTGCCTCTCTTCCTCTCTCTCTCAGTCATTTTTCCACACAGTGCTTGGTAACAGCCACATGTGTGACACCCTGGTGGACAACAACCTGCGCATCACCAACTGGAACCGTAAGCTGGGCTGTAAATGCCAGTACAAGCACATCGTGGACTGGTGCGGCTGCTCCCCCAACGACTTCAAACCGCAAGACCTCATTCGGATTCAGGTGAGTTCACCACAAGAGGGCAGTGTGTCATCCTTCTGAGATTACACTGCCTTGCAAAAGTATTCATATTCCCTCAAAATAAAATCCAGACTGCTAGATTTATTCCATTTCTAAAACTATTTTGTTTTTTTAAATCCACAGCAATTGACTCGTCCGACGTTTTTCGCCCGAAAGTTTGAGTCGACGGTGAACCAGGAGGCCATAGACATCCTGGACACCCACCTGTACGGCCAGTACGCCCCGGGAACCGTCGCCATCAAGGCGTACTGGGAGAGCGTGTTCGAGCAGCCGGACGGCGTCGGCTCCCTCAGTGACGTGGCGCTCACAGCTTACACCTCTTTCTTCCGCCTGACCTTGAAGGGCCTGATGACCTCTCAGAGCCAGACAGAAGCCTGCAGGTTCGTTTCCTGTTTCCTCTTTGAATATTCTCTGACTGGTAACGGGATGTTGTTACAAGGAGCTTCTTCTTTTGAAGGTTTGAACCAGCAGGCGACCCTCTGTCCGTCCATTTGTACTTCTACGACGACCGTTTCCAAGGCTACCTCGTTCGGCAGGAGGTGCGCGGCGTGGAGTCGAAGCGCAAGGAGACGCTGGAGCTGTGGGCCATGCCTCAAGCGACGCTCGTCTTCGAGACGAACCTCAAAGAATTCGAGAGGCTCAAGAATCTGGAGGTTTTCACGGCAACTTTTTAACATCGATGACACTTAAACCAAAACGTTCTCTAAAAAAACCCAGATTCCAGAAAAATGCTCATTTAACTGACGGGTTTTTCTCGGTAACAGATCGGGACAGACTGGGATCCCAAAGAAAGGATCTTCCGTAACTTCGGCGGCGTCATCGGCCCATTAGACGAGCCACTGGCGGTCCAGAAGTGGGCCCGCGGGCCCAACCTCACGGCCACCATCGTCTGGATCGACCCGGCGCAGGTGGTGGCAGCGTCCTATGACGTCACAGTGGAGATGGACGCAGAGTACACACAGTACAAACCGCCTCTACAGCACCCCCTACGGCCCGGTGCCTGGACGGTGCGGGTGTTGAAACAGTGGAAGCGCGTAGCGGAGGTTCGATTCCTCGTGATGCCGCTGACTTTTAATAATAAAGAGCCGCTGCGCAGAGGTACGTTTGCTCTGTTACAATAACTCTAACAAAACTCAATGAAGTATTGAGGAAAAAGTTGAAGGGCTATGAATCATTTTCTAAAACACGTTATTTTCCCGGTTCGTTTGCGTGCTTGAAGTCCTTGAATTTCAATCTGATGTTTTCAAGGTTTGGAAAGTGCTTGATTTATGTATAAAGTCCTTGAAAGTGCTTGTTATTCAAACTGAGCAGTTTTGTATTAAAGTGCAATCTTGATTAAAAGCCTAAATGGAAAATGTTATTCACAATTGAAACCAGATATTTTCATACAACTTATAAAAGGACACTTTTCTCCTCTCATTGTCTGAAAGTTTAATCAGACTAAACAATTCTTGTTTTAGGTTTGTTGGAATTATCTAACTTATTTCTTTGATAAAAGCCATAAGACATAGGAAGAACTTTTTTTTTTTTAGAAATATTTTGTGTATAAAAATATATAAAATATGAGTAGGAAGGTCATTTACCTGGAATGAATATTTATTCATTCCAGGTAAATGGAATAATAAGTCACTAATGGCTCAGTGACTTATTATTTGTCTTCTGCTTTGTATGTTCAAAGTTATTGAAAATGTTGTTTTTTTTAATGTTTTGTGCTCAAACTAAGGTATGCCTGAGACATTTCAAAACATAAAATGTTGCTATATTTTAGATGACCTTTTCTGTGCTGTAGAATGTAGAAAACAATATTAACAACATTAATAAATGACATCTTACAGTAGTGAATTAAAACAATATTCTGAGAAAATGGTGGGGTTTTTTTACAGACTAATTTTTGTTTTATTTATTTTCTGTTCCAGAGGAGGACAGCTGGCTCCATTCGGGTCCTCCTGGTAACCTGTACCTGGACCAGAGCTTCCAGCAGCTGAGCTCCGTGCTGAAGCTGCCCCCTCAGGAGCCCGCCATGCAGGCGGCCCGGCGAGCCGCTCAGCTGGTGGGCCGGCCCCTGGACGCCTGGGTAGACAGCCTGGTGGGGGCGTTCTGGGTGATAGGCGACCTCTGCTCCGCCAAGACCTCCTCCTGCTCGGCCGTGGGGCTGTGCACCAAAACTACCTGGAGCTCCCTCTCCCCTGATCCAAAGTCCGAACTGGGCCCGGTCAAAAGCGACGGGCGGATCAGGTAGCGCGAGTAGAAACACTGAACACACAAAACACTGCTGGAGAGCCTCAATGAACCCGATATTGTCTGCACACACACACACCGAGGAGCTGCTGCTACCGCGGGCAGAAACGACGGGAGGACTGCAGGAAATTTGTACATTGACTGCAAACGCAAAAACAAGAAAAGACAAACTTATCATGTTTTGCTAAACGGATACATGAAACCCCACGTTTCGGTATGATTTTAGCTGCCGCACACATTTTCAGTCACACAACTGTCTCAGTGGAAATGCAAGGGTCCTCATTCGGTTGTCCCCTTCATTTCAAGGGAGAGTAGAACCTCTGGATCTTAATAATGTGCTTATTTTGAAGCATAGGAGAGATGCATGAAGTGCACTTTACTACAGGATGTTGTCGTCGCAGCGTTCCCTTGGTTATGGCGGGAGGAATCGAGGGCGGGATGTTTTAATACGTCTGTGCAGGGTCACATATTTTTTTTTGCACCAACACATCACTAAATACAAGGACATGTTAGAGAAAATAGCTGTTTAATGTTTCCTTTCAAAAGTATTTACACCCCTTATATTTTTCTTTTACATTTTGTCAGGTTGCAAAAACAATTTCTTTTTATAGGAAACTAATATGAAATAGTTTATAGATGTGTTGCTTTCAGCCTCTTTAACTTTGATACCCCTATATAAAATGATTTGATTGCATTTGATTTTGTTTGGTGGCATCAGATTGATACAAGAAAGCTTTCCTTCAACTTGATGCTAATCTAATGATTTTAAATTTTGCAACAAAATGTGAAAAACACTGAACGGTGCCAATACTTTTGTGAGGCACTTTTGTCAAAAATATATATCTCTAGCATTTTTTTAAATCTCAGTCAGTGTGTTAGTTTTATATTGTTTTTGTGCTGCAAAACACTGAGGGTTTTTGTTTATTTCTTTTGTTTTTGCATTCAAATCAGTCTGAAAATTTGAACCCAGTCACCTGAGCTGAAAGATCGACACGAGCTGGAGTCGTTTTAAGCATCGAAGACGAAACTTTAAACGTTTATAGCATTACTGCTAAACGCTATAATGAAAATAGTTTTAAAAACCACATTTATTATTAAATTTTGTTATGCTGTGAGGAAGAAACAAAATGTTGTGTTAGCTTGTTTGCAAAATCAACGTCTCTGCATCCATCAGGGAACTTTAAAGCTATTTTTTATTTTTTCCATTAGTTTTGAACACACTGACCTCAGTGTTAAATGTTCAGATTCTGTCTTTTTGAAGCAATCGGGCTTAAAGTTACATATTTCCACTAAAAGTGTCATTTTTTTTACATTGTATGGTAGGCATTGAAACAACAGATCGTTATACCTCCTGTTTGCCTGTGCAGATGCTGTACCGTCATGCCGGTCTGTGTTTTTTTTTCCTACGTATCTGTTCTCATGCTGTTTTATTTTCGTATTTTTACTCCTTAAATTTTAAACAGTCCACTGTATTTTTTTTATTTTATTATTTTTTTATGCTAATCGTTTTAGTTTGATCAGGAAGAATCTAAGCTGCCTTTATGTGGAAAAAGGTTTGCAGAATAGCTTGCAGAAATTAGTGTTTTTACTTTAGTTTTTTTTTTTTTGTACTTTTGTGTTCTGAAATAACGACCGGCCAACACGTACGTTGTTTTAAGTGACCTTGTTTAGCTTGCACAGTATAGTCGCTTCAGTGAAGCCCCGGTTTTATTGAGAGAATAAGCAGATTAATGGATCTTAGCTAATGTTATTTTTCTATCCTGTCAGAGGGAAGCTGTATGCTGTCTGTTCGTCTCTCGGCTCCCTGAGCTGTTAAAACTGCTCTCTTAATTGTGTTGCATTCGACAGTCCACCTGTTCGGTGTCGCATGAAGCAGCTCCTCTGGGTTTTGGGAGGAGGTTGAGATTTCTGTCCGTGCTGTTGCGATAGTCGGGAGCAGCCCGGACAGTGACTCATCCTCGGCTCCGTCGCTCCGATCTGTAGGGAACGGGAGCCCGTCGCTGCTGTGGAGAAGATCAGACAGTCTCACCGAAAACTCAATAAATAGATGACGATATTCCAGCTTTTGTTGTTATACTTGTTTGTACCTTGTAGCATGTCTGGATTTAACCAAGTGTTTTTTGAAACGGCTCACTTTGAACAGGAGTTGTCCTTGCCAGGAGCAGACTTTTGCACATATTAAGTCCTTCTGAATGCTGCCAGGATGTCACACATCCTTAAAAGGTCTTATCTAAAATTCAGGCCTTAAAATATCTTAAATTCATTAAAAATATATATTTATACTGGCCTTAAATACGTTAGTCACAAGTCACATGACTATTTAGTCATTAGTCTTTTTTTTTTTCTCATGGGACTTTTCTGTCGCTTGCAGATGCCTTCGTTGCGTTCTGTGACTTAAAGCAGTTGATGCTACCAGTGACCAGATGCTAATGCACCGTTGCTCTCTTGATTCGTGAATTTAAAGTTTTTTGTTTAACTAAATAATCTGAAAAGTGTGGCGTGCATTTCAATTTGTCTCCCTGAGAGCATACTTTGAAAATTAACTTTGTTCTACAATTACACTTATGTCTAACAGCTTTGCACATATAGAGACTGTCATTTTTGCCCGTTCCTCTTTGCAGACTAGCCAGATGATCAATCTAACTCCTGAATATGCTTTCACCTGACCCATTCTTTTATATCGCAGCAGGTTGTGCATGTAGAGCTGCTGTAGGTCCTGGATTCCCCTCCATGTTGCTTCATCCATCTTATCTGCCCCTACTGAAGGGAAAACGTCTCCTCAGCCTTTCATGGTGTATTTGTGGTGATCAGCTCGCTGTCACACAGCCCACATGCCATCTATGAATGAATGGCTTTCCTTCATCTTCACAGTTGTGCTCTAGCTATTTTGATGAAATCCACAGACATCACAATTTAATGTGACAAAATATGGGGGAAAAAAAGTCAAGAATTAATAGTTTTGGATTATAGAAATGATGTAAACACCCTCCAGGGTGCTGAAGCTTCCTTCCTTCATAAATACTGTAAGCAACATTTCTGAGCTTCTCCATATAAATATTTGAAGTGTTTTCCGGTTCAAGTGCACAGTTCACAGCAGTTTTCCCCTCTGTGCACCGGATGTGAACCACATGGGAGGAAAAGGAGACCTGCGGAGAAGGAGGGCCAGGTGTTGGGGACAGCGGGCTGTAAACCCGACTTGAAAGTGGTGAGGAGTGGAAGGTCTCTGGGTTGAGTTCACCTGCTTCAGAGCAAAGATCTGATTTGTGTGAGACGGAGACGCAGGAGACAATGGACATGCCTGGATCATCTGATTGACCTCGAGGACATGCAGACACCCTGTAATGAAGAGCTAACACACAAGGTAAGCTAAGGATTTTATGCTATTTTTCTTCTAGTTATTAAATTATTGGTTTATCTATAGCTAAGAGCTAATAAACCAATAATAGCACTTTCAATTTCACCCAGTAGCAGGTTAACTCTTAGCCAGTCACACACTTTATGTTCACAGATGACAGAGCATCGATGTCGGCAAACAGGCTCAGCTTCTTTCTGCTGAGTTTTTGTTGCTTTTGTCACAATAACACGTCCAGATTATGAAATGATTGCTCTGGCAGGTTAAAGCTTGCTCCTTTCAAACAGATTGAGGCTTTCGCTGCGGCAGCACGCAGCTAACGGGATTAGAGGATATCTGAGATTGTAATTACTGGATGTTGAAACAAGTATTACTTTGTGGCGAGCTGAGATGGAGCGCCTGCCGCTCCGCTGATTAAATTTCAGCTTGTATTTGTTACTTTGCCCAGTCAGAAACAACAAAAGGCGCCACACTCGGATGGCTCCGGCTTTGTTTTTTTTTTGTTTTTTTTTATTTATTTTTATTTTGCTGGCAGCTGAACCAGTTGGATCTCAGCTGATTTAAATGTAGCTTTGGGTGCTTTCTAAAAATGCCGGGGAGAAATTAGCTTCATGAGAAAAGGGAAAATATCAAATACACAAAACTCCTGTGAATTTCAAGCAAATAAAATAGGTAATTACACTTTTGTGCACGCATTTTATTTCCTTCTACAAAGGTATCAGTCAGGAGAAGATTATGAAAAAAGCATCCAAAGCATTTTATATTTGACAGGAGGCTGCAGGAAGATGTGATTTTTCAGTATTCTCCGTATGACAGGAATGAGAAGTTTGACCCCTTCCTTCTCAAGAAAACATTTCTAAAAACTTGACAAAACAAATAACATCACATTTAGTGAAACGTGGTAGTGGCAGTATTATGTTGTGAGGTTTTTTGTCACGTAAACCTGGCATTTTAAAGGGGATGTTCACTGAAACTTTAACAGTAACTCATGTAAGTAGGGGCTGGTTTATGAAATATCTAGTTATTTATAGAGGCCATATTTCAAGACAGAAGGTGGATTTAACATCTAATCCACTTTTTTCACCATTAGTATACATCACCAAAAAGTAGATGGATATTTTATATTTTTTTGCTCCCTTCATCAAAATGCTAGCATGTCTGAATCAGTCTTTAATGCAGGAGCGATGAAATTTCAATGCTCTGATTTCACTCAGGCCTCTGAAACCCAGCACAGCACATCCCCCTCGCTCTGACTCATCAGCCTCTCCTCTGGTTCGCATCGTTTGCTCTCCTTTGTGCACGGGTTCGGCCTGTACCTCCTCCTGCTGTTCGCGGTCATCAGCCGCCTGCCTCTGCAGCCACTTCTCTCAGAGGCAGGCGAGCCATTCAGGAAGAGAAGTCCTGCGTTTCCAAGGAGGGCCGACGGAACAAGGAGTCCAAGGACACAGATGGTTTAGAATACACAGGCTGTAGCAGATGTTTACATGCGTGGTTTGTATCTCCGGATACAAGCATCCAGTTACTTACCGTTTAGTCCAGACGTAAAGAGAACACAGAACACATTCACTCTGAGCAATCTTCCTGACTTTCACATGGATATTTTATCCACGGTTAGATCTAAACGGCGTCGGATAAACAAAAAATATATATATCATAAGGCCCAGACAAAGTCCTGTAAATTAACGCTGCACAGATTGTATTCTGACAACAAGGCTATTTCTCCATGTGGCTGTAGACAAAGGTACGTTTTTCATTTTTAACAACGGCAGTAGTTCAGGGTGAATCATAATTTCCCACTCTCATTCAGCAGCAGCTTCTCTGTGACTGAGCTGCTTGTAACACAAAGCGGCTGCAGCGGTGACAGAGCGTCTCCGCTGCACATGAAGAAGTGAGTTTAATTTGTATTCCTGAAAACAATAACGGTAATCGGGGTTCCTGGGGCACAAAGAATACTCCTACACGTTTCCTTTCTGCACCACAAAACGGGCAGTCGTGTTGCTCGTCAATTAAATATGTTAAAGTTGAAAGGTCTTGAGGTTTTTTTTTCACTTCCTGTTTTGCTTTTCAAGCATGACTAAACGACGTCTACATGTAGACTGCAAATAAACATCTAAAAAAAATGTACTTGGACTTTGTAAAAGCATTCACTTTCTGATTACATATGTACATTTTTGACATTGTTTACTTATTTTCAGCTATAAAACTAAATTTACTGGGTTCACTGTGCCATGCTGTATTTATACATCATGATGGATTTGTTTCTGTCCTTCTCCTGACTGACATCTTTGCAAAATGAGATACTTTTGAAACATTTAATATGCTCTTTGAGTTTACAACTGCTTCCTGCCAGCGTTTATGTGGAAAAAGTTTAGAAATTATGTATCAAAGTCTCCTGTGCAGACATTTGCAAGCTAGTGCGTACGCTTGTTGACATTTTGTGTCATCTTATGGTATTGACTATCCAGTTGTCTGGTGTGTGCGTGGTTTTTTTTTGTTTTTTTTTGTTTTTTTATCTCCGTACTCATGTTATTTCTTCATTTACTTGAGTGCGGTCAGCTCTTTGTGGAGATGTTGTTGTCCACTTAGCAAAGTTTTAGTTTACACTGATAAACGCATCTTCCCAGCCTCTTTCTTCATCTGATGAATGGCCACTCGCTCTGTGCTCAAGTGCAAGTGAAGAGACGAGCATGAATGCGACTCCCGTGGACCGAATAAATTTAGATCCGCTCCAACCTTCACCAACTTGTCCGTTTTAATGGAACATCAAAAGCCAACATGTCGTACACGCACGAGGATGATTAAAGTGAGCGTATTACCAGCAGCAGAGCCCGGCATGCTGTCACTCTCTGCTGTACGTTTGCTCTTGTAGGCAGCAGATAAGAAGCAGGAGAAGACTCTGGCTTACTGCATGTGGAGTGAAAAAGAGAGAGAGAGAGAGAGAGAGAGAGAGAGAAAGTACTGTGGCTGTAAGGTGATAAATTTCCACAATAAAAGTAAACATCTGCTGCCAAGTAGCTCTATTGGTGCTCCGGCTCGAGAGAGGCAATAACCAGAGATAAAAAGGTCAGCTGATGCCCACATCCGGAGCAACGCTTTCAGATCTGCAGACCACTAAATGTGTTTGAGGCTGGCTTTCAGAGGAAGTGGTGGAGGAAGAAGAGAAGATTCATTGCTCAGTCTAATAAAAATATGTTTTTCATTAGCCCCACATTTAATAAGCTGTAACATTTAACAAATTTTAAAGCTTTACGTGGCTCATTAGTGGACAGGTGTTTTTATGCAGAGCCTCGCAAAAGTACTCATCCATGAAGTAAATGGACTAAACCTTTATATGTTTTTAAGACTTTTAAAAGTCATCTTCATCTTTGCAGCGATGGGGAGGAGGAAGCCTGGAATCAAACCTGCAACTTTCAGACCTGAATCTGAGCTGGATGGAGATTAATATCAAAGGCCAACAATGAATGTCCAGCATAATGTTTTCTTTTTTAATATACTTATATATATATAATTTTGTTCCAAATAGAAAGATAAAATGTGTTATAAATTCTTATTCAGTGGCCTGAATCTGTGCTCCTATAACCTCCTTTGCTGTAAATACAGCTGCATGTGGTTTTCAGCTGTTTGTCTTTTTCACCACATCAGACTCGATTGCAAAGTAGCTCAAGAGGCCTCAGAAGTCTCGTTACAGATGGTTAATCTGCACTTTGACTAGGCCATTCTATGAGTCCCTGCTTTAAACTAAACCGTCCTATTGTAACTTTAGCAGCCTGAACTTCTAACTTTTATTTTGCTTAGTTTTCATAAGATTACCGAAGAACAGTTTCTTTGGACCTTGGTAGCTTTTCAACCATTTTCTGCTTAATTCTTGACCTAAATCAAGACAGCATGTTGTGTCGTGTGTGTGTGTGTGTGTTTGAAAAGGATGAAACTGAACACGTTGAGATCAAAGAAATAAAATCTACCTGGAACAGAAGCAAAAAACAAAAAAAAAGGAAAGAAAACCACACATATTCCCCTCTGTTCGGGAGTCTAATGAGTTATTTGGCTTTACAAATCAATAAAAAAATATATATATATTCCTCTGAACATTGTTAGGAGCCAAACAGAAAAGAAAACACTCTAAAAAAAATCTTCACAAAGTATGAGGAGTTATAGCTTTAACCCACTTCTATGATTTTCCCAGAAAGTCTGGAAGAAACTTTGAAACTTTTGCACAGATCATGAACATGCATAGAGCAGAAGGAGAACTTCTCTGTGTTCCCCTCTGGGAGTTTTTTTTTTTCTCTTTCTGACCTTCCAGCTCATTGAGAAGCAGGTCCGGCCTTCGCGGCCACGCCGTCCTTCCCTGCTGAAGACACCGAGCCAACCTCCAGCTGTCACAAAGCGTCAGACAGCGGCGCGCTGAGCAACACATGATGAACTCGTACAATAACCCGCTCCGCGTGCCCACACAGCGCTGCGGCCTCGGGCGATTAACACAGCACGAGGCTGCAGAGCATGACGTCTCATCTGTGTGTGTGTGTGTGTGTGTGTGTGTGTGAGAGTGACTCAATCTGCAGACCATCCTGGTGGGAGACAGTGGCGTGGGCAAGACCTCTCTGCTGGTTCAGTTTGACCAGGGCAAGTTCATCTCGGAGTCATTCACCTCCACTGTGGGCATTGGCTTCAACACACACACACACACACGACCTCCCTCCACTCCCACTGTCTGTTTTTCCTCCGTCCTGTTATGTTGCTGACTTCATTCCAGTGAGAAGGACATGTCACTCCGCTGGGCTGTTTGCACTTAAGTCGTGACATAACAGCACGGCCGAGCAGATCCTCTCTGAATCAGTGGTGCTCTCTTGAGTGGGATGCCACTTCTTTTTTCTTTTTCTTTTCTCTTTTTTTTTTCTCTCACTGCATTGATTACGATCTTTAACAGTTCGTTAGAGGAGAATTATTACGGTCAACAATCTCAGCACTGCGATTAAATTACTGGCAAGAAAGCGCATCTAATGAATGTCACAGAGCCCGAGCAGCGTGCTGCGGGAGACGTGTAACAAAGTTGTGCCAGACGGGGCTGATTTTATGCTCTGTGACAAGTTTTTAGGTGGGAGCTGATGGGCGAGGGACACCGAGACGCAGAGGTGTAGTGGTGTGGTGGGGGGTGGTTATTTAAGGAGCGATTAATCTGCTGTGACACTGAAAAATCTGTGACCGTCACAAATAAAAGGGAAAAGAATCAGCGAGGTGCTGTGAAATTGGTTTGCCATTTTATATTAGCATATGTTTATGCATATACAGTAAGAGCGTGCGCGATTCAAAGTTTGTGAGGGGAAAAAAATGACTGGGAGAGAAAGAGAGACGGGCGGGAGGGGGGGAATTAAGACACTTTGATGTGTTTAATCCAGTTGGATTTAGAGCCAGAGCCTGGGAAGAAGAGTTTGATCGTATTTATTGTGAAGCCATCAGGTGTCATTTTTGATTCACAGCACAGTGAAAAAAACAAACAACAAAAAAAAAAATCTCATCCATGGCTGATTCCTGCTTTCCTCTGCTTCAGAACATTTCTCATCTGTAACATTTCAGACCTTTTCTGCCTCAATCTTTGCTATCTATTCTCCAGCTTGCATGAATGGCGTCTCCCCCTTTGAGTACTGCCCTGGGCAACTGCCTTTATACAGGCTATTGTTGCTTAAAGTTGAAGAAAACTTTTTATTCTATAAAGTGTTTTGCTCGTATTTTTTCAGGATGTTCAATGAAAGTGCATTAGCATGCAATGTCAAACTTGTGTAACTCTCTTGACGTTTTACCTGTTTTTAAAACAGAGGCATCCAATGTGGAAATTCTGAGTTGTTTTTTTTTTCAGGTAAAAGTAAACTATTTTACATTTATAAAGTTTTCTGTTTTTTTAATTTAAAAAAAAATCTGCATATGGAATTATAATCCCCATTGCAATATCAGGTGTTGAAATTACAAAGGAAGGACGCAATATTTGAAAGGAAACAATATTTCAAGTGTCAGGAGGTGAAGTTATTATCAATGTAAATCATATTTAATTTTACTGCACCATAAATGTTTTTGTTTTTTGTAATTAACTGCTTGGTGACCTAAGTTCAGGTTCCTACATGTTTTAAAGATCTTGTCAGCTCTCCTCAGGGCCTCTAATGACGTTTTCTTGTCCAGAAATTGAAATGCAGCCTTTGGTTACTCTGCACATCTGATACAGATCCCAATCGTTTTGTTTCTTATTTATCATTTATCAAATGAAAATACTTTTCCAGTAGTTCCACAAGGCTGTGTACTCAGACCTGTTTTAATTGTGCCTCATTTGCTTCCATTAAATCACCTTTTAAGGCAGTTTATGACCCCCTGCTACTGCTCTGATGGTAACATTAATGTTGAGCTTTTGACAACTTGTAAACTCTTTGCTATCTTTGCTGATTTCTCTGCACTGGTTTTCAGCACAAAATTAACTAAACTTTGTTTTTGAACACGTTAAGTCTCCGTTTGGTGAAGAGTTTTTATACGTTTTTGAACTTCTACAGCCGTACGCTACCACCAGGACTGTGAGGCTGACTGATCAGGGTTTGTACCTCAATCAAGCACTAAGACTAAAATGGACAAAAGCCCTATGCTCTTGAACTCTGTACCCATTCATCAATGTTCTGACTTCATCAGGAGAACAGGTCAATGTTTGGTTGTGCGGAGGCAGGAGAAGGAGCAGCGATTCCTGCGGAGAGCAGCCTCCAGTTTCCTGACTCGACTACGAAACTTTAGCTCTTATTTTGTAACGTTTTACGCCTTCAAGTGATTCTTTTCACCCAATTCCCCTAAGCAGCCGCATATTCTGCTTATCCCTTGGGCCGGCTCAGATCACGCGGGGAGCCAGGAGCTCATATACATGCCAGTTATGCAACTTTAATGATCTCTGCTCCTGTGTCATTAACACAAAAGGAGAAAGGGACAGCTGGATGTGTGATTGAGCCGCTAGGGGGAGACAAACACTGCAAGAAAAAGATCCATTCACGGGCTTCTTTATCAGGAAATTGAGTCTGTGAGACCATTTTAGATATGTATGAAGTGAAGAGGTGGGGTAATCGATCATTTGCCTGCTGTGACCCAGAAAACTAAAAAAAAAAAGGTAGAAGACTAGATGAGAATCCCTTGATGGCAGAATGAGACTTTCTAGTCCAGTCTGTGCATGCTCCGTGGGGTCAGATACGCGCTCTGAGATGTTAAACTCTCACCTCCTCTTCCTGCCTCCCCTCTGGTGGGTGCGAGACCCTGTGACCTTTCCACCTGCAGCAGGTCGGATGAGTCTGATCCCTTTCTCCTCCTCAGCTCCGCGTCAACAATAACAAAAATAAATAAATAAATAAGAGAGAGAGACGCGGCGCAAATAAGCGAACCTGTCGACGTCCTTCAGCGCATCTGTGGCCACAGCTCTAATTATCTGCCCACGCCAGGATGCGCCGCGCCGCGCCGCTTCGCCAAAGCAGAGCAATGTTTCCGCCTGCTTGTCATTACCGCTCTCTTGACTGCTGGATGCGGACGCGCCGCCGCCGCCTCAGCTCGCCCGCCGCGCAAGTTCTTCCACCGTGCGCCTCCGTGTTTCGAAACACTGTTCAGGTGTGATCTTCTCCCTTTCTCCCATCTCGCCGCCCCTGCAGGAAGTGTCTGTATACTGTACATTACTATGCGAGCAGAGGGGCTGGAGGTCGGCGCAGCCCGGGACTGATCGCTCTCTTGACACCGCGCGCCTCTTCCTCTTCCTCGGACGCGTCTTGGAGGTACAAAAGCTGCTGCTCCGGATCTCCTTGGTAGTGCCATGTCCGCGCGAAAGACGTCGTTGACGGACAAGCAGGCTAAAAACGGCACGTCAAAATATGTGTTGGAGAGATGCGCCTCCATCAACGAGTACTATGATGTTGCCTTCAAGGTGTGTATTTCCGTTTTAAGTGTGTCGTTTTTCTGCATGTTCTTTTCTGGGTGTAGACGCCGCAATAAACGGGCATTAGGAGAATGTGCACTAGTACGGGGGACCTTAAACTACCAGCTGATTGGTTTCCCTTGTGTTATTATTGCCTTCGTTAACACCAAGTCAGCCAGCAGATGGTTGGGAAATCGTACTGATTCAAATATTTACCAAGGGTGTACTTGTTGCTTCTCTCCTGAATATTTGCTTGGAGACTCGAGCAGACAAGTGGGTGATCTCTTGTTTGCATCTCTCATCTGACGTGTGATATTTAAATCAAATGTAACTGAAATGATTGCATAATTGCTCGTCCTGCTGTTGCAATTATTGTTGATTAGTTTTTGGAGAGGTAGAGAGAGAGAGCGATGCATGCTGTAAATGCAGAGTTGGCAACGATCATTTTCTCTAATTATTTATTAGAAAGCTGACAGTTTGTGGGCATGGGTCGGTGTGCGATTCTCAATGCAGGATGACGCTAATATTTAAAAATACGTATTGGAAAAAGCTTTATTCCTACCCCTGCTGAAATAGCACAACATATTCGTTGTAACATTTACGTGTTTTATTTTTATTTGAATTTTTACTCTCAGGCAGAAGCAAAAATGGTCTAAAAAGTACTTATTTTTTGCTGTTCGGGATTTTATGAAGTAATCAAAGCCAGCGCAAGGCATAAACAAACTGAACAGCTGTCCTCCAAACCGACAGGGGGAGCCCAAGAGTACTAGAATTCTCAATCAGGTCAGGTTTACAAATGTATTTCTTATTTAGGCTGACACGTGTGATAATTGTGCAAAACAAAATTTGTGATAGCTTATATTTAAAATTTGACATGTAAATCAGCAAAGGGAGGCTGCATGAACGTCTTTTGTAGTAGCTAGTTCACTAACATGTTTGTTAGATCTTGTTGTTGAATAGATCTAACAAACATGTTTGGCCCAAGCGGATACGGCTCAGGCTGACCGCATGAATTTCTGGTTTGGAAACTACTTGTGCTGAGCTAAAACCACCGACGTGTGCAAATCGGTATTAGGACATATATGGCCTGTATACCCAGAGATGTCACAGTAACTTTGAGGAAGCTAGTTGTGCACTTCACGGCTCACCTCAATGCAAAAGAGGCATAATAACCAAAGTAATTCTTGCTAGAAAGTCATAAGAATTCCCCTTTCAGATCGACACAGCAAACATGTTAAAGGAGGTTATCATTTTCTCCACACCAGAATGCTGTGTGTGGTGGACGTCACCCTGAACACACCACCTATCCAGTGAAGTTCAGTGGTGGCAGCATCATCCTGTGGAAAGCTTTTTCCTCAGCAGGGACAGGGAAGCCCTTACAATCAGAACCTAAAAGAAATTGTTCAGATCAGACATATTTATGTCAATATGTCATTGCCCATTATTCAACCTGTGGCTCAAATACGGAGATATATTTCACAAGTATATGCTCCGCCTTTTCATGTAGTGTAATCGTTGATTGCTGCATGACTGATATTATCTTATAATTGTAAACTATACAAATGTTTGTGTTGTTTACTACAAAGACATTTAAACACGGATGTTAATATTAGTTGAGCTGTGGGGAGTGTCGGCATTAAAATTCTTGTTTAAATTCCTGTTTAAAATGGTTGATTAGTCAAGCTATCTGCACGTGTAGCCTGGAGCTGACTGATGAATGGACATGCAGCTGGTCACTTTACATCATAAAACACTCCAGTAGTTGGCACTCCATGACTGTAGATGTTTTTCATAGTTTCCATAATTAAATCTCTGGTTGTGAGCTGGAATCTGTGATCTGAGGTCGTTCAGTGCGACACCGACGGCTCTCCTCACCAAAGATGACCTAAAATTGAAACTAATTGCTTGCTGTCTTTTCACTGATGAACTGATAACTGTCAAATTTTTCTGACTGTTTCGATTGCAGCAAGAAATCCTAAACACAAACTGCAACATCTTCAAATCCTGCAGGACTTTAAAGTCAGACAATAGGCAGCTGGTGCAACTTTCTGACACTTTTTCCTGAAACGTAACTTTTAAGAACTAGATATGCACCAATCAGGCCTTTTACTGGCTAATATTTACTTCCAGTTTTCTGCAATGGCCTCACTGGCCAAAATCTATTTATTTTATTCTAAGAACTTTAAGGAATGAAAGAGGATATTGTAGAAAGTTGCTACGTCTACTTGATTCCTAACTGAATCAGATATTTTTGCCTGGCACCAATCAATTAACCACAGATGAAATATTGCCAATTTGCTGAGCTAATAGGCTAACTAATGAAAAAATATGTATTTTCTTGTTAAATACACCAACCAAAAAAAAACAAACTCCCATCATTCAGACTTCAAGCTCAGCATGCTCTTTGATGCCCATTTTTTAAGTTTTGTAAAGCTCTGATAAATATTAAAGTTGCATGAATCAGGGTTTCCCTATGTTTGCTTTTCTTTTGGGTTGAACCTGCTGATTCAGATCTTTTTTTTTTTCTGGGGTTATTGTATTTAAATGCTGCTGCATGTTCTTTAAAAGAGCTTTAATGTAACAGAAGGAACAACAATGCCTCACAGTGCAGGTTCCTGGGCTTTATCAGATTTTATTCCTTAAACTTGCGTCAAAGTGCATGCTGATGGCTGACGGATGTTCAGTGATTGGTCATTGCATCTCCACCGAAAATGGTGAGATTTTTGTTTGGATTTATTTAATAGCTAGGGGAGAAAATACACATTTTTCAGCATTTAACCTTTCAGAGCTGTGTAAGGAAAAATTTATTGATTTCAAACTTTGGTCTATTGATCAGTACATCTCTACTTAAGGCGCTGATATAATTTGACCGCAGCGACCGACCCATGCCTGCTCCCAAACATTATAAACCAACTTGTGCAATTTAGTTTTTTCGCAGTTGCTGCAGATTCTGTTTAAATAATTTGAACCTCGTGTCGTAACATTCGTTCCACTGACCAGATGTGACCTGTGACCCTTCTCCTCTGCTGACCGGTTGTCTCTAGGTGATGCTGCTCGGAGACTCTGCGGTGGGGAAGACGTGCATCTTGGTGCGCTTTAAAGACGGCGCGTTTCTGGGAGGAAACTTTATAGCCACCGTCGGAATAGACTTTAGGGTGAGAAACGATACATCTGACCTGTGTGAACCATCTCGTTATTTTTTGTGCTTGTGTGTGTGTGTGTGTGTGTGTGTGTGTGTGGGGGGGGGTGTGTGCGTGTGTGTGTGTGTGTGTGTGTGTGTGTGCACTTCCACTTAGCTTAATGAGGTAATTTCTTTTTTTTTCTCTAATGAAATCAACAAAAACAACAAGTGATCCCCCTGGCAGGAGTGCCATCGGCCCAATTAGCGCCTGTTTCCACGCGGAATGCTTCGTCACTCTGCGATGATAGCACCAAATGTACAAATCCTCTCGCCAATCAGTCAAGTTCACAGACCACTTGTGCTGCTAGGAGCTTTGGACGGCTTCGTAAATGTCTCGGCAGATGCCTGCCCACGTCTCTGTCTCCTGGAAAGATTGGCCGTGGCTCAGCTCGGCCCTGGAGGAGTCACCCTGCTGTCGGATGAGCTCCTACCTCGTCACACGCATCTGTTGCACAAAGAGACACGCCACACATGCGAACAAAGGCAGCGGCTGGTGGTGGATTTCAAGCAAATGACTACTGTGCATCATCCTCGTCTGTGCAAGAGTGGGGAAAGAAAAAAACAACAAATAGGCGCCTGGGCCTCGAGCTTTGCTTCGCCTCCTGTCAAAAGAAAAACATGTGCAGTGATGGCAAGTCAAGTATAAGGGTGTTCGGTCTGAGAGGAAAGTGTGTTGCATTAGCCAAAGTGATGCTTAGTCTCTCAGCGGACACAAAAGAACATTGTCCGTGTCTGACAGATTTATTTTTTTATTTATTTTTTTTAAATGCCTCAAAATGTCACTTTTGCTTGTACAAAAGCAACAAGTTTCCACCGAGACGCTCCGACGACGGAGGAGGGGGAAAGGATGCTGGCTTACATTCATTAAAAACCATAATTATTCGACACCGTTCATTGAGAAAAAGTGGCTGAGGGGTGTAATTACCTTTCTGTCTCCATGCTCGTTCACAAGCAGGCCTCCGGAGCTGCTTGGTAACAAAGCAATTTGAGATGAACAGTTGAGTCAATATGTTGAGGATGTCCTCTTTGCATGGTTAGGCAGGCAAGGCTGGCAGCTTTTACATGCCGGGGTCTATTTTAGGCCCGCTTCCTTGTAGCAGTTTCTCAGCATGCAGGCTGCTTTCACGTCATAATTGGGGGGGTAGAGGGGAAAAAAAAGGAAACCCATGGCAACTAATGCAAGGGTTGAAGCGTGTTCCCTCTGCCAAGGCTGAGGCTTCAGCGGGTGGCGGTGCTCGCTGTCGTCGACGGCTCGACGCGCAACACCGAGCCTCAGCGATGTCATTGAGGTAGTATGTTGCTGCGTTTCCTCATTGAGCAAGTGGATGTTTGGCCTTTTTTTTTTTTTTTGCGGGCTGTTAGTCATGACCTGTCACTGATAAGGTGCTCCAGGAAGTGCATTTTTCTTGCCTCATTTCCTTCTTGTAAGCAATTTGTTGTTTTTTTTTTTTCTGTTGTGGTTTTTACTTTGCTTCTTGGTTGCGACCTGTTTCGGAGGTCATGACGACCAAGAGAAAGCACAGAGGTTTTGCATCCAAACTGTGGTGCATTTACAGCGCTGCACAAAGAATTCACACCCTTTGAGCTATATCACTTTTTTTTCTTTTGTTAGCAAGATTTTCTGCAGTAGACCAACACCACTTAAAATCTAATTGTGAAGTCAAAGAAAAAGAATGCATGTTTTTTTTTTTTTTAATTCTTGCACATAAAAATCACATAAAAACCCGTTTTAATCTGAGATGGCTAAACGAAATCCAGTTCAAAGCGATGCCATCAGAAGTCATCTAATTAGTAAAAGGAAGCAGCTGTTCTCTGAAGACCTCAGGGGTTTGTTGGAGAACAACAGAGAACAAACAACATCAGGAAGAGCAGAGGAGCACAGCAGGCAGGTCAGGGAGAAAGTTAAACAAGAGTCGGGTTATGAAGCGACATCGCAAGCTCTGAGCAAATGTGGAAAAGACAAACACAGCAATCCACACTCTGTTGGTGACTCTAGAGGAGCTGCAGGAAAGGAAGTTCTGTTTTTTGTATGACACATTTTCAGCAACACAAAGTGCTTTATGTGATTCAGAGGAAAATAAAACGACAAGAAAAAGAGCAAGAGAGAACGATGACGGGTGGAAAGACGGACAAGTTTATGATGTTCTAGTTATTAATCGGGCAAGTCTAATCTGGTGGGTTTTTAGTCTTGATTTAAACGAATTTGTGCGTCATCATTTTTGGAGGTTCATTGGAAGTTTATTGCAGATTAGTGGCATAGAAACTGAATGCTGCTTTTCCGTGTTTGATTCTGGTAATGGGGGAAGCAGAGCAGACTTGAACCAGAAAACCAAAGTCGTCTGAAAGGTTGACACAGTGACTCCTGCTCTGTGATGTACTTTGGTTCTAAGCCAGTCAACATCTTGCATTACCAACAGTGAAAACCCACAGGCTGCTTTGTGTTGGTCTATTCCATCAAACCTCAACAGAACGCATCAAGGTTTGTGTTTGTGACGAAACGAAACCTGAAAAATCACAAGGGGTGCGAATACGTTTACATGGCTCTGTACAGCAATACGAAATCCTCATGCTTAAGAGTATCGCCGCTCTTCTCAGAGCGCCCGTCCGCAACACTTTGGGAGTCGTACACTTTCCCAGACTTGCCTTGGGTCTGCAGGAAATCAGAGGGCACCTCTACAGGGCTGCAGGAAATTAACGGGGGAGTCCGTTGTTATGCTGCCAGCCGCCTTTCTCACTCTGCTGTAATTAAGTCTAATCCTGGGACCTTGTTACTGTGTGGGTGTTGCAAATTACTTTCTCTGCCAGCATTCAAAGCCACTTTTAGCCGCCTTGTCTCTCCTGCCGCACGCTGAGTCGCTGCGCTTTTTTAGCCCGCCCCGTTAAAAACGCTCGTCAGCCGCTTCCGTGCCATTTTCCAAACATATGCTGGATTGTCTTTCACTGCCGCTCCCTCTTGTTTCCGCAGAATAAAGTGGTGGAAGTTGACAACCTGAAAGTCAAGCTGCAGGTGAGAGCACTGTTATCTTTTTGCTCCTTTCAGATCCTATCAGCTCATCTCGCTGATAGATTTGTGACCTAAGCTGAACACTCGTCCAAGTAGGTGTCGCAGGAGCTAAATAAACACGTCGGTGTGAAACGTGCTTTAAATTGGTTCGCCCGGCTGCCATTTTTAATCCATTCCACCCAAGGCGCACACACTCCCCCTCCCCCCCCACCCTTTCATCATGACCCGTTCATTCAACACTGAGTGGGAGGTGACAAAATTAGACTCCCTTCAGTAGCTCCTGTAAATCATCAGTTTCTCTTCCACACGTTTTTCACATGACATAGTAGCTGCTCTGGTAATAAATAGACTTTGGCAGTAAATTTAGCCCCGAGAACAAAAAAGGAAAGTGAGATTTAAGAAGTCTGTGTTATCATTTTAGACGGACAGGGAAGCAGAATGTAATGAAATGAATCCTCCACACTTTAGCATAAAGGCCTTTTCCTCATAGATTTTTTTTATCACTTTTTAAATACTGATGAGGCTGAATTTCCTGTCTTGTGAATAATCTGATCATTTGAATGGAATGTTCTCTTTTATTTCCTATTTTGAAGAAATTTTCAGGAAATTGGCCTCTGTAATTTCTCCTTATTTATACCAAAGTGAAACTAGAAGTGATAAATCACTAATTAACCCTTAATGCACAATGTAAAGTTTATTTTTGGAAAGCTTTAAAATACTTTAGGTACACTCATTTTACCATTAAATAGTGGTATTTGTATTTATAACAGCTGTGCTTTTGGAAAAAAATATATTTATCTAATAACATGCCGTTTTTAAAAAAAAAATAAAGTTAGAATAAAGCAGACATTTCTGACATTTTAAGTCTGGGATCATGCTAATGTTATGAAAGCTACATTTTTAGCTTGTCTGCCAATGAAGAGGAAGGGCACTGTGTTCAAAAGTTATATTTAAAACAGCTGTATTTATTAAACTTCCGTTTTGAGTAGTTCTATAATTTCTTTAGCTTTATGAAACATTAAAGCTAAATGTTTCATAGAGCTAAACATTTAGCTTTATGAAACATGTGCAAACATTTCATGTTTGCACATTTCATGTGTTTTTTTGTCAGGCGGTCATAGTGGTAAAGGCTTACCAGCTATTCTCAAACAGATTAAGGACTAAATGTTTATTTGGATCAGTCAGCCAGAATCCATTAATATTTCAGGATGAAGTTTACTTTTGATCTGCAAACCATAAAACAAATTATCTTTTATTGCAGAACCAGAATCTCACAAATTACATTTTTAGAAATCGAACCTTTAGTTTGAGAATAATTATTAACTTGGCAGAAAATCCTTTTTTCTTTTTCAGACACATTTGATGTATTGCAACATATTTGTCTTCTGCTTTTACTTTCAAGTGGCATATGTTTTTTTTTTCCATACACTTGAAAACATGGGACATAAACCAAAAATATTAGATGATGAAAAGAAAATACATCTATAAGTAAAACTTCAGATATTAGGAATTACAAACTATCGGGGAGTTGCATGTTTTGTGTTCCAGCAGTCGTCAGATGGTTTAAATCGAAGAATATTTTTATTTTAAAATGGTCTAGTCCAAGTTCAGACTGAAATTTAATTGAGAATCTTTCCAAACACAAAGACTGCTGAGGCTTGTGGTAATAATTTGAAAAACAAAAAAAATCAAGAGGTATGAAAACTTCTGCTAAGCTCTACGCCAAAGTCAAGAATCCCTTTATATGGTATTTTCAGCAGTGTGCATATCAGATTACATTTAGTAAAAAAAAATTAAAAAAAAGGACTCCTCAGACTATGATCTGCGCTTTCTTTGTACTGCGCTTGTAGATCATTAATATTCCATGGTGCTGCTTCGTCCCTGGGCTGGTTGGGATTAGCTGGGAGGTCTTTCCGTGTCGGATCCTGTGTAATTATGCCGCTTGTTCTGCAGATCTGGGACACAGCTGGTCAGGAGAGATTCCGCAGCGTAACGCACGCCTACTACAGAGATGCCCAGGGTAACCTTTGCAGTTCATGTTCCACTTCTCCACGCCAAGTGTGAGCGTGTGTGTGTGCGAGCGTGTCGGTGATGGAGCAGCCGAAATTCACGCGTGAATGAAGGCGCTGACGGTAAAATCTGCTGTTCTCTTCTTATTCTTTTGCAGCGTTACTTCTACTTTATGATATCACCAACAAGCCATCTTTTGACAACATCAGGGTAAGACGCCCCTTCCACCTCCTTTCCTTATCATCCTTCCCTCTCTGTTTATTTTTTATTATTTTTTTCCCCCCTCCTGCTCCTAAATCTCACGCTGAACGATTCCGCCTCTCCACATGCAAAAGCCCCACCTGGGCCTGTAACTTTTCCTCTCAGACCTATTTAGAAATGACGCGCCGCTGTCGTCTGCCTGGCTCCATGCTCCCCAGTTTCAGTAATGAAAAGCAATAAAGGCGCTCAAGGATAAGAATGACTCAGTGTCGGCATGATTGATAAGAGCGCGCTCACAATGCAGCGCAGCTCAGGAGAAGAGCGAGGAAAACAAGAAGAAGAAGAAGAAAGCGCATTCTTCAAGTGGTCCCTGTTTGTTTTGGTTACATCTCCTCTTCTTTCTGTACTTTTTGAAGGCTTGGCTGACTGAAATATTCGACTATGCCCAGAAGGATGTGGTCATCATGTTGCTCGGCAACAAGGTGAGCAAAGCTTCGTTTTCTTTTTTGTGTGTGTGTGTGTGTGTTTTCTAGACGATGGGAAGGATATTGGTTTCTTTAGCGCAGTTTTAACACACTCTTATCACATTCGGGCAGACATGCGAGCGCCTTAAAAGGTGGAAAATTTTTCCAGTGTGACACGAATGCATGAAGGCAAACTGTGGTTTGCTTATTCCAACACAAACATGGGAAATGTGGAAAATGTGTCCTCAATAATGCACTTTTGTGACAAAGCATTTCATAACACACAAGTTTACATCTGACAAAAATAATCGGGAGTAAAAACAAAAACTGTTTTCAAGGATAATTTCATTTATTGAGGGATCAAAACGTACTTCACTCATCACACACATGCCTGGTTACTCTAAAAGCAACACACCATGCCCCAAATTAAAGAAATTTAAGAACAAATGAGAAATAAATGAACAGAAATCTACAAAGGGTTACTAAACAAATGGAAGCGAATCATGTCCCGGTGGTGAAGCTCCTCTTCCAAAATTACTCCATGAGCGGACCGACGACTCGTCCAGGAAGTCGTTAAAGATCCCACGGCAACATCCCATCCACTGCAGGGGTCACCTGCCTCAGGAAAGGTCAGAGTTCATGGGTCAACAACAAAAGACTGAGCAAAAATCTGCATTCAAAGGTGAAAGTCAAATAGTTGTTATAAAACTTCCTGATGTTTCCCAAGATTTTCTAGAAAGTATTCCTTGGACTCGAGGGAGAGAAAGGTGGATGTTTTTGGACGGTTTGCGTCGTAAAACGAACACACCTTTTCAAATTATAACAGAATCATTTCGATAGTGAAGTACGATGGAGACATTGTGAGGTTCTGGTTCTGTTGCTGTCAGTAAAAACCTCAAAGAGAGGACAGAAGTTTGTCAGCAAAGCTTAAGGCTTCTTGGTTTATGTTGCAAGACCATCATCCAGAGCACGTCAACAAGTCCATCGAATTGTGTAAGAGACCTCAACAGTAAATGAATTAAACTCATAAGATGCTTTTCTGTTCATGCTAACGACTCAAAGCGTTCCATTCGCTCACACTTGGACACCAGGACACGGATCAGTCGGGATCTTGGGGTTAGGTAGCTCATAACCTTTCATTGCTTTCGAAGAGAAAGGCTTTGGATTGGCCTAGTGAAAGTCTGGATTTGAATCTGATAGAAATGTTAAGCAAAATACTGATGCTCGAGATGTGGACGAATGAAATCAATTCTGGCAAGAGAAAGTGGGCTGTGATTCCTCCGCTGCGACGTAAAGGACCACCACAAACTCTTGATGGAAGTTGATTCATCGAAGGATGGCACAACCGTCGAAACAATTTCTTTTTCACAAAGGGCCAGGTTAGTTTGGATTGGATTTTTCCCGTAATAAATACAACCACTGTTTTCAAAACTCCTTTCTTTAATCCAAGCAGGTTATCTTTGTCTGACATTAAAAAAAAAGCAAAGACATGACTTCATAATGGACTCTGTAACTTGCCCCCTCAGCATTTTCCCCTTTTGCTTTAAACCTCTGCGATAACTTCTGCCCAGAGCAGGGGAAAAAAAAAAAAAAAAAAGCGCTTTAAAGACTGAAAAATCCTCATCCCAACCGGCAGTCACTGCTAATTTATCCAAAAAGCTCCCTCTGGTGGTTCAGAGAGGACTCATCAAAGGGTCGTGGGTGTCACGTAGCAGCAGCTCAGATCATTTGCTGTGAAAGCAGCAGGACTGGCGGCGGCGGTCTGTGCAAGCGCTGCTCTTCTGCTGGGGGTGGAGCCGCTGACATCCCATCATTCCTGATGGAGCCGCGGCTCAGGCAGCCTGGCAGCCAGATAAGCAGGCTGACAGGACGGTGCATCACTGTGGCTAATTTTCTGGTGAATCTGTGACCCCCTGACATGTTTCTCTCTCTCTCTCTCTCTCACAGTCAGACATGGCTGCAGAGAGGGTGGTGAAGACGGAGGAAGGAGAGAAGCTGGCCAAGGTAATGAAGGATGTCCTCTAAGTGCTTACATCCACGTGGAAAACACTCCGCCGGCGCTCTCCTAATGTTTTTTCCGTTTTAGGAATACGGAGTGCCGTTTATGGAGACCAGTGCGAAGACGGGGGTCAACGTGGAGCTGGCTTTTCTCGCAATAGCAAAGTAAGTTCTCCATCCGACCGCGAGACGTCTTGGCTTTAAAGTGTCGTTTCTGATGGAAGAGCAGATTTGCTCGGTTTTTCCTTCAAGTTTCTCATTTTGTCCTTTTGTTCAGTGATTGCTGAAAGAGTGATTATGCGCCTCTTTTTAATCAGCTCAGTGTGCTGCCATCAAGTGGTGACAAAAAACTTTCTGAAGTTGAGGCATTAAAATTCATGACGTCAAAAACGTGAGAGGATTTATTCAGGCGGTGCGGCTCCAAGTCCAAGTCGGAGATTAATATCACCGTTTGCCGACTCGGCTGCTTTTAAAGTTGCAAACAGTTTCAGATAAGACGCTTAACAATCAAATAAAAGTCATAAGCCTTGCACAGCTTGTTTCTACTGTTCTTGAGTTTTTCTGCTGCAAGCTGCCCGTCAAATGCATCACACAGTGCACAGTCCTTACATTTATTTACACCTCGGCAAAAAATTCTAACCTAGTTTTAGGAGATTTTGTGAAGGGGCAACACAAAGTTTCTGGGTTTCTTACATCGCTTGTGGTAAACTGCAAAGTGGACGTTTCAGTGGCTTTCTGTCTATGTGCCACATTTCTACATAGGCCGGATTTATGGAGTGAATAAGTAAGAGTTTGTCCTGTCAGTTGAGAAACTGCATCAAACTTTTCAGCGGATCATTTGTCAGATGTGTCGATGCAACACATCTAGACTTCTCCATTCATCTCCACGCATGTCCGATACGCAAGTAGGCTAACCTACTGCTAAATGTTCTACAAGTCTATCATTTTTTTGTATTTATTTTTATTTAGCCAATTGTTCAGGGTGTCAGAAAACCGTTGTGAGAAATAAAATGTTGAAATCCTACGAGATTAGGTAATCAGGCTTTATGGTACTTACCCTGTTTAAAGTACTATAAAAAAAATATCCATTAAAAGTATATCACTGAGGCGACTTTAAATTGTTTTACTATCACCAGATGAAACATTTCTCACTTCAAAAGCCCCATTAGCTCCGAACGACAGCATAACCCGCCGTCACAAAGTTAATCCACCAACAGATTGCACTAAATTTTGCACCTTTCACTGCTCATTATGGGGGGAACATGAAATTTAAATTGACGGGGAATCATTTTTCTCGCGGGTCAGACGACCATGTTTCGCATTAGGGGGTTTGCATTTTAATCTCGCTCGTGCTCGCAGCCGACCTTCTCTGAGTTGACCTTGTTCTGTTCCTCTCGGGGATCCTCGTCGTTGCATTTCGTGCACGGACGCCGCCTCGTCCCCGTCTGACTCCGGCGTCGTCTAATCCAGCGTAATGGTTCTCGGCTAATTTGGTGTCGGCTGCTGTTGTCTCCTGTTAATGGGATTGCATTTGTTTGAGAACTCCCACCTGGTGTCAGACGTTTTACGGTGTAATTTCTATTCCTTGTGTGGATGCCCTTCAAACTGAATGGCAAGAAATAATTTATTTTTTTATTTTTTTCTTCGCTTTTCCTTTTACAAGCCAGGTCGCTCTTGCTGCATGCCAACAGCATGTTCAGTTTGGAAATGTCATTCAGACCAATAAAAATGGAGATTTATTGCTGGTGTTTTTTTTTTGTTGTTTTTTTTTATTTGCTTCATCAACAACACAGACGGCTAAGAAAGACAGTGATTCGTTTTGAAATATTTATTTATTTAGAAAAAAATTCTTTAAATCTTGGCAATATAATGTAGATCAGTAAAGACGTTTGATATGCAGAGCTTAGATTCTTTTAACATTTTATTCACCATTCCAAATATGCGATCAGTCAGTGATTTCTTATTTAGCAAGAGGGCAAATATATTTTTGCACAGTGCTAAAAATTAATGATATTATATTAATATAAATATAATAGTATTTGCATATTTATTATATACCAATTAATTTATAAGATTATCTATTTAAAAAAATTATTAAATTATTTATTTTACAATAAATAATTTGATAATTATTTAATAATAATTATTAATAAATAATTAATAAAAACAACATTTTTATTATTTTAAAACTATAATTTAGATTTATTCTGGTTATTGTCTGATATTAAAAGGTTGTTTCATCATTTTTTTTTACATCTGAGTGTGACAAAAAAAAAAAACAGGAGAAGAAATGTGTAAGCAGCAGATGCTTCATCACAACACTGTTACTCTGGTGTGTGAGTCAGATTTATCTATAACAAGACAAAACCGCAATCTGTCAAATGTGATTTAAACCGGCGGAGTCCAGTTGTCCTGATCCAGGGGACGTCTTCAAGACTCTGTCTAATGAATCTCACAAGGCAAGTATGGGCATATAATTTCTATCTTTCACTTTTATAAATGGTTTGAAACCATAAGGTTCAGTTTACAGTAGCTGACTTGTAAAATCAACCTGCTGGTATAAAAACACAACCAGTTTTTTCCTCATTGTTTGACAATGAGGTTCCATCAGATTGAACCTCACTTTCAGTTTTAGGTCGGTTAGTGTTACGACAAATATTTATTTATAAATCCCTAATTAACTACTTTTTTCTGTAAGTCAGAGGTTTGCGTACACTAAGATTACTACATCTTTGGTTTGGAAGCTCAGCTTTTAAGGCAACACTACGAACCAAGTGTTTTCTCTTTTTGGCATTATGGGGAAATATAAAAGAAATTGGAAAGAAAATGTGAACCACCACAAATCTGGTTCATTCTTTGCTACAATTTCCAAGTGCCTAAAGTTGCCTCGTTCATCCGCTGAAACAAATATGTGCAACTATGAACACAAAATCAAAATGTCCAACTTATCATCCTGCTCAGGAATTCAATTCAATTCAATTAGAAAATATTTGATTAATCCCAAAGGGAAATTAAATGCTGTTGTAGCTCATTTAATAAAAAAAAAAAAAAAAGATGAAGTCCTTCTTGAAGAAGCTTTAGAGGAGCTTGCAAGCCTGCAGAGCTGTGAAATACGGGGGAATGGCAGCGTCATGTTGTGTTGGTGTCTTCCCAAAGCTGATGAGGAACGAATATTGAAGTGACATCTCAGCCATTAAATAAAACTCTACACATGCTGCCAAATCACTTGCAGAGTGGTGAAAGGATAACATCTTAGAGAGGCCATCTTAAAGTCCTGATATCAATATTTTCTCAGGGAAACATTTTGGGTGGGACTGAAAAGGTATGTATGGAAATACGACATACAAATCTGACTCAGTCACCTGTTCACACTGGAGGAATGGGCCAAAATTCCAGCAAAGCACTTTGGAGAAGCATCCTAAACATATGGCATGCCAAAATGCAACTCTACCAAATGCTAACGAGCTCACCTTTCTGACTTTGACAAAACTACTTAAAAATTTGAAGCAATTTCGGTAATCCTAACAGACCTAAATCAGAAAACGTTGTTTGGGTTTAAGTGCGGGTTTTCTTTTTTTTAAAAGGTTTTTGTTGGCTCTAGTGGCCTTTATTTGAAAGTAGTTCAACAGGAAAAAGGGGGAAGACATGGGGCAAATGTCACCAGGCCAGGAATCGAACCTGCGACCAATGGCATGAGGACTAAGGCCTCAATACATGGGTTGCGCTTTGCCCCTGCACCACCACAGCACCCCCGTTTAAGCGCGGTCTTTAATTACACAGACAGTATCAGCAATTTGGTGTTTTATCTGCGTCTGAGTCTCAGACAAAGGAGTCAAGAAGTGGCGTCTGGTTTTTAGTTTTTGTTCACAACTGAAGGCCATGAAAGTAATCAGTGAGTCACCATTTTATTACAGCTGAGAGATGTTTGATTCATCTGCATGCTGCTGGAGGATGAGGTGGAAAAGGCTCTCTCACTGCACAGCGAAATTAAAATGTAAAAGAAAATGTGGCAGAGTAGTGAAAAGAAAACCATCTACTACACTTACAGGAGAAATAAACGGGTCGGTTCTAATGTCTATAATGAAGAAATAGCAGCTGATTCTGCAAACCCCCTTGTCACCATAGATACTGTCTCGTGAGCGCTAACTTCACCTCTCCTTGCAAAAGCGACCGATCCCGTCGTAATGCGCCAGTCGCACAGCCTGCGTTTCGAACCGACTTGTTTGGCGACGGCGTTTTTGTTTGGCAAAAGAGACGAGAATCATTCCACACCAAGAGCTTCGTCTCCTGTGGGGCTTCATTAGGTTGTGATTCGACAGAGTTTATTGTACGTAAAAAAAATCCGCCCTTGGGCTTAAATGTAGGCGACGTGTGATGTCAGTTTGAAGCACAAGCTGTGATAAACGATATTCCACCAGAGGCATTTTGATCAAATCTCAATGCTTCTGCTCTCCTTTCTCCCCTCCTTCTTTTTTATATTCTTGATTTGTTCGCCCTGTCTGTGCTCCATCCCACACATCCACCTCCTCTGCTTCTAACTTCCTGTCTCTGCCTCCCTCCCGCCCTCTCTCTCTCTCTCCTTCTCCTTTTCTCTGTCAGGGAGCTGAAGCACAGAGCGACGCAGCTGCCAAATGAGCCCAAGTTCAAGCTTCACGACTACATCGAATCTCAGAAGCACAAGTCTGGCTGCTGCAGGCTCGGGTAGCAGACGCCGAACGCCACGCAGAGAGACGGATAAAGGGTAGAGAAAGGATGGAAGGAGGAAGGGAGGGAGGGAGGGATTGAAGATGGGGTCAAGGTAAAAAGAATAAAGATAAAATGTCAGCTCTCTCTTATGAAAAGCCAATCCAAGCAACCATACCCCCCACCCCCAACACACACAACCCCTCCCGAGAGGCGGATGTTCTTCTGCGCAGAGCTTTTGGCTGAGTGGAAGCGAATCTGGACTTACTGCCATCCCTTTGCTGAAATGTGAATTTAAATAGTTTGTGTAATGTGTAGAAACGTTCGTGGTCTTTGTGGTGACAGTTGTATCCGAGTACAAATCAGGAGTAACAATCTGAAATGCTATACCCGTCTGCAGGGACTCCCTTGACAAGCGGCAGGTTTTCATGGACCATCAAAGCGACTGTTGATGTGGATATAGCATTTTATTTTTATTTTTTTCTCTCTGTGTGAACTGAACCCCATCCTTCTGGCCTTACAGTCTCCATCTTCAGTCGAGAGCTCACAGTCAGGTTGTAGCTAAATGGCCTACATCTGTTCACATCTGTACTGCTGTTAGGTAGAATAAAGCCAATATTTTGAGGGTAATTACCAACCTCGTGTCTGTCTGTACGTTCATGTCGAGATGCTGTAGGTGTACCGTTCCAGTTACAACTTCATGGATGTTAATGTCACATTTATTTAGGCATTTAATTATATTTTTAAACGTACTTTTTTCTTCGTGTGCCGCTTTTCCAACATTAAACTTCAATGATTTTTCCAGAAAAGAACCAGAAGTTTAATCTACGGTCGTTCTCCAACTCACAGGGCGTCGAATTGGTCATTCAACACTGGGGAAGACTTAAGTTTGATGGTGTCAAATTTTAGTCTACAATAAGTTTTCAATACAATTAAGTTATTGGTTTCTAGAAAATGCTAGTTTTAGTGGTTAAATATTCCTAAGCGCCATAAATGAGCTTCCTGTATAATTCTGGCTTAACATACGTCTTCTTTTCTTAGCAGAACGAGCGCAGTTCAGTAAAATGGTTGGTTTCTCAGGGCAAGCCCAGCAGAGGGACACAAACTGTACATTTTCAACCTACTTCTTTAGGTGAAGGTAATTCAAGAATATTCATAATAGCCAGCTTTATCCATTTAAAATCCAGTTTTATCGTGAGTGTTGGATCGTTGTCCTGTTTGAACACCAAACTGTTAGTAATATTCGACCATCTAGTTGTTGACTTTTAAGTAAAGTTGAGGAGTTTGGGGTTAGTCCTCCGTAATTATTCCCTGGACTCAAGTTAAAAATCATGTAATTTCCTCCATTTTGTTCACTGGATTGCCTAGTTGCACTCGTAGTGTAAGGGAACCCTACAGAGTCAATTTGCAAGCAAACTGAGACTGATGATTTTGTGTTTTGTTGCTCACCTTCTTGGTCCACACCAGAGTCTCCCATTAAACTATCCATTGAAACGAACTCTGGTCCGTTTTCAGTGTACCAAACAGTGAAAGCGCCAGAGTGAGCTCAATGTTTGCCCCATCTGACTATAAATCTGAAACGATGCTTAAAGTCTGAAGGCCTCGTGAAGAGTGATGCCCTCAAGCCTCCGTGTTCCCTGGGTTGTTTATTAACGTCCAAATGAATTTGGATCAAGTGGTTTGAAACTCGGGCAGAACTTGTGATCCAACAGGACAATGATCTCAAACACACACACCAAAAAAAAAAAAAAACTGGGTCAGTGTCAGTAAACCGATCAAGTTAAGTGAACTCTACTTATTCTGCTTTGAAGAGCATTCAGATATTCCACCTTACGTTATATGTTGCACTGTCAGTCGATTCTGTAAGAACAGTTTCAAAGAAATCCTTAAAAGTGAAAGCTTACTGGGACGTTCATACAAACGTCTTACTGGTGCTGTAGTTTCACCCCATATGAATAATGATAATAATAAAAACATACTCATACAGATTCCTACACGCCCCCCAAGCATTATTGTGTCTCTTCTAATGATGGATGTTGTTGTTGAGGCTGTGCCAAGCTGTATTTGTTGATGCACCACATTCTGTATTACTTTGTACTCTGTTCATTATGAATGTTTGGTTGTCTCTCCCTCCTCGGAGGCGTCACAGTGATCACAAAGTGCCATTAAAGTGCTTTGTTATCGTACGAAAGATATAAAAAGTATATTTTGTAATGTATGTGATGTTGCCTTATTGAAGTCGGTCGTGTGTGTGTGTGTGTGTGTGTGTGTGTGGGGGGGGGGGTGGTTGGCGCTTGGCGGCCTAGGTTTTTGAAACAAC